AAATAATACAAAATAATTCATTAAGTATATACAAAGACAGGAAACTGTTATTGCCCCTAAAGAGTATTACAACATTAGTGACATATCCATGATTTTTCTTAGCTAACTTCCAGACATGGAGCGAACTTAAAACATTTGTATGTTTATACTTATATTAAATAATAAGGCTGTGCAAAAAATTGCGGTGATTGAAGGCTGAGAACGAAAAAGCCCTTTGACTTAATACAACCCCCCCCCCCCCCACACACACACACACAACTTCAAACGTCAGGGGCAACAAGTTAATAAATTTTTTTTTGTAATATTCTCAATTAGACTTATATTTATTGATAAAATTTAATTTCATAGTATTACCTCTCAGAGTTCAAAAATTATGACCAATTTAAATGCAAAAGAAAAAAATTATGACCAGTTTAATTGCAAAGAGTTTAAATCAGAGTTTCAAGCCTTAAGAGTTTCAATTTTTACCTTAAATAATGATATTGGAAAGTGAGAACGTAATGTTATTGTCTTTGGAGTTTCACAAAAAAGAATGGAGATCTCCATTCTTTCTTGTCCAGTACTCTTTATGGGTTTTAGTATCAATCGATTGATACTAAAATCCATAAAGAGTACTGGACTCCAAATTACTGATCTATTTAGAGAAATTACTCATAAATAAAAATGTAATCAAAAGAGTTTATCATTTCAAACCCAGAATCTATGCACTAAGCAGCCCTGTTTTAGTAGAATTAACCAATAATGTAAACGAAGTAGAAATTTTGAAGACATTGAATAATTTTCAAAATTATTCATTAATCTCGATCAAACTGAGGTCAAAAAGAAACAAAAGAAAGAACGAGTTATACTATCAACAAGCTTTTTTGATATGATATTCAAAGAATTAGAGTGTGCAAAGTCTGCATCAATTAAATTGACAAGAAAATAATGTCATCTATCTTGCTGGTATACTAATGCAACATTGCTAAACAACAAGCTTGATGAATTATTGATTGATATTGAAGTTAAGCAATCACGTGTGATGATATGTGAAACATAACGAAGTGAATCATCAACAACAAATATTCCGAGTTATTCCTTTTCCAGACAAAACAGACGGATTAATAGAGGGCATGTAGTATGTATTTATAGTTATGAAAGTATCATTTCTTTTAATTAGACTAATAGTTATTTACATAATGACAATATTGAGTGAAGATGGTGCTCGGTTTATAAAGTTTCAGAAATAATTTTTGTGGGTGTATCTATAGAGTAAATGGTGGTAGTGAGTTAAATAACAAGCAAGTTGTAGATTCAGTCAATTTTTCCTATAAGTTGTTAAAAAAAAATCAATATTCAGGTTTACATATATGTGGTGACTTTATATAATCAAAATATAATCAACTCAAATTATAAATCAACCAACATTTCAAATAAATAACAAACGTATAAGACTTAGTGATGTCAGAATCTTTGGCTAGAGTTTTTCAAATAGATCGCATATTAATCTTTTTTTGAATATTTCTTAAACATTTTAATATTCCTTTTTTGTTTCTTTTGTCTTTTAAAGAATAAAATACTAAAGAAAATATATATATATATATATATATATATATATATATATATATATATATATATATATATATATATATATATATATATATATATATATATATATAAAATAAATTTTTTTTTTCAATTTATTAAAATTAGTAAACATAACGGGTAATTACCCGTTATGTCAGATTTTAAAATATAACTCTTACATAACGCCAGATTTCGTGTTTTATAACAGGTAATTACCGTTCAATGTATAAATCATATGAAAAAAACATAACGACAAATACTGTTGTACTTTTTTCATTGAACATAACGGGTAATTACCCATTATAAAACACGAAATCTGACATTATGTTTTTTAAAACGGGTATTTTTTTTACTGTGTAATTCAAATATAAAGTATTATAAATCCGCGTTCTAAAAGGTAAAAAGTAATTGTTTTCAGTATTTGCAATAATTTATGTAAAAATTTATGTAAATAATTTAAGTAAAATTTATGTTAAATTGTATTGTTAAACTGTTAAACCTCTCGACATTCGAGAGGTTTAACAGTTCAATAATACAAATAGATTTTGTTGATTTTACCCATAGGGCCATTTTTACATTATGCTATATGCCGAAGTAAATTTACATAAAATGCTTTCTTACAATTTGTTTTAGCCTCTACAGCAGCTATATTCAACTATAAGGTGGTTTTTACGATGTGAAACAATAGATTACCCGCTACCTATGTATTGGTAGATAAAATGTGAGAAAACCAGTTGGTTAGTGATTAAAACCCAGGTACACTATAGGAACTATGAAATATGGGGGTGGCAAAGGCTTGATAGTTTGAGGACCACTCTTCCATTGAAGGTATAATGCACAAATACATAAAAAGTTCAATTCTTGAGAATAAAATGTTGGACGTTTCAACTGGACAATGATACCAAACACACATCAAACTCGTTAAAGCATAGGTTGATGGAAATAAAATCACTGTAATGCAATGGCCCGCTCAATCTCCTGAACATCTCTCTAAATCCTGAAAATCACTCTAAAATCTATTGAGAATACATGTAAACAACTTCATGATTAACTCTATATGATAAAACTGGCATGGCCGGTTTAGAAAATGTACATTAGCGACAAAATAAATAGCACAGATTGATATCCAAAATGTAATGCTTTATTTTCCAGAGATCTAAGTTTTTGAGGCCTAAACTTTTTTAGCCTAATAATAGATTAGTTATAAAAGATAACATAACTGATTAAGAAATGAAAGTAGCTTATGTAAAAAAAAGTACAACCATATAAATGATTTAGAACAACAAAATAAGGGGGCAACTTAAATAGCACACCCTGTACAAAATTATAATTTTGTCCTTTAGCTACAAAAATCATGGAAGTTCTTTGTATAAATAGTTAAAAAAAACTTTTTTTGAGGAAAATTAATATTTAGTGGGGTATCCTTTTGAGTCAATAACCGCTTGACAACGACGGCTCATTGAGGAGATCAAGTTTTGCCATCGTTCAGGCGTAATGGCGTCCCAAGCAGCTTTTATTTCGACCCAAAGATGGTTTGAATTTGTTGCAGTTAAACGGTTTATGTTTCTATCAACTTCCTCCCACAAATTTTCTATTGGATTTAGGTCTGGTGACTGTGCGGGCAACCCTAAAACGTCAATCTTATTAGCGGTAAGCCATACTTTAATACTTTTGGCGATGTACTTGGGGTCATTGTCTTGTTGGAACTTCCAAACTAGAGGGAGATTTTCTTGGGCATATGGCAACATCACATTTTCTAGTATTTCATTGTAGATATGTTGATCCATCGTGCCTTGAATTCTATACAACGGGCTTAATCCACTCCATGAAAAACTACCCCAAACAATCACCTTGCCACCACCATGTTTAACGGTCTTTAAAGTATACTGAGGGCTGAGTTCTTGGTTCTGGGGACGACGAATATTGCTTTCCATTGGATCCAAAGCGATTGAACTTAGACTCGTCAGTCCAAAGCACATTTTTCCAAAAACGCAAGTCCTTGTGTACGTACTGTTTTGCAAACTTCAAACGGCTGACGAGGTTACGTTTTGAGACCAATGGTTTTTTTCGAGCAACCCTTCCAAACAGCTTATTTTCGCGTAACCGACTTTCGACTGTGCTGACAGACAGATTGAGTTTTAGATTTTGAGCAATTTGTTCTTTTATTTTTGGTGCGCCAGCAAAAGGATTCAGCTTAGCAATACGAACAACGGCTGCGTCTTCTCTGGGGGTTGTTTTTCGTTCGCGAAACTTGCGTTTTTTGCTGCTTAATGAACCAGTATTGTTAAATAATTTAATAGCACTGATAACTTTCTTACGAGAACAACCAAATTTTCGAGCTATTTGAGAATTGTTCAATCCTTGATCTCGATATGCCTGTACTTGTCCTCGAAAGACATTTGTTCCATGTTTATCACGTCCCATAATTGACAGAAAATTATTATTTTATTATTTTTTGCTAAAAATATACAAGAAAATACTTAGAATATTAAATAGAATGATTATCTTTTGACATATTACAAAAATTTAGTTTTTTTATAATAAAATGCTAATGTGTGCTATTTAAAATGTCCTCAAAAATGTAAGCAGGACCGCTAAAATGCCTCAAACAAGCAATTTTTACAGTTATAAATATAAAATGAGTAATGCCGTTCAAAAGTGTAAACATTTTTGATGCTATATATATATATATAAAAAAGTTGCAATAAAAACAAAAATATTGGTACCAAAAAAAAAAAACCAACTGGTTATGAAAGTGTGCTATTTATTTTGTCGCCACTGTATATGGAACTTCAACCTGCCTGATCACAAATAAAGTTCAAATTAACAAACGTATTAATTCTACGCCCTATAGATGTACTGAAGTTATTAAGAACAATGGATATGCCATTAATTACTGATTTTATATGCTTTAGATAATATACTCTTAAACGTTCCTTTACTTAAAGATTTGGAGGACACGTCTTCCTTTAGTTTAACAAATAACGTCTTATTTTAATTTTATACATATGCATAGATAACATAACCCAGTAGGCACGGGACGTAAAAAAGACATTTTTTAAACGTTTCTTTTTAGGTCCCATGCCAGCTGGAACATTTAAATAAAACTGAATAGTAAACTTAATTAAATTGAGATCAGTTTACCGACATTGGTAAAATGCGGAAATGCAGAATGACGAACGAGTTAAAGGCAGGAATAAAGCGCGGAAGATTTCTCCTAACCCTACACACATCGCTACTCCAACTAAAACGCGCAAACGATGTATCAGCACTCCTCTGCAGGTTTTTCTTAAAATTAATCAATGTATGTAATGAAGTCTCCTAGCCTCTAACCCAAGTTTCACGTTTATTCCGTTAAAAATTTCTGCATTATGAAAATTGAATCAGTCAAGAAAAACCTAGACACTACATAAAAATGACTAAAAACAACGATAAACGGTAAACGTTTACTGTAGTAATAATGTTTAAATATATATATATACACAGTATAGTATTTTTTAAGATAAAAGTATTCGCATTGTAACATTACAAAGCTGTTTTAAAAAATAATTACAAATTTAAATATTTACATGGTTATAAACAAAAATCTTCATAGTTGACTATTTTTTTTTTTTTTTTTATAAATATAAATATTAAAGAAAAGATTTTCTTTCACATATTTATACACGTGTTGTAGCACGTGTTTCTTTAAGCGATCACTATCTAGCAAAAGCATTATAACACGCTGAGCGACGATTAAAGTCTCAGCGACAGCAACCATTTTTTTTTGTTTGACTCGGCTGTTTATTTAGTTGCATTCCTGTGGCAGACAATCGTTTTTCATCATTTTGAATTAATTGTCTAAATAAAGAACCACAATTAAGATTATTAATGACCCGTTTAATTACTTAAGCACAATTTTTCAAGTAATAATAAGACTAAAAAAAAACTAACGATTATCTCAAAAACAACACAAGTATACATTTTGTTAGAAATAACTTTATAATTATAAAATTTATTACTTATTTAATTCTTTTACACATAATATTTAATTTATTCAAGTTAAAATCATTTCATGATTTTTTTCTATGATTTATTTCTAATTGTTAAAAATATTATTATTTAAACGAGGACTAGTATTTAAAAATACATTTTTTACTTGGTTAATTCTATGCATGTGTTAGTGATGTTTGTTCCTTCTTTTGCGCTGGTTTCAATAAAAAGAGCTCCAATGTCATTTGCTAACCTTTGACCTTGCTCTTGACTGACAACTGGCATACCTTTCCGACGTGCATCAAGTCGAAGGTCCGTTTTATTGCCGCAAATTATGATAGGAACCTATGAAAAAAAAGTTGTATTGTAAACATTAACAAATAAATTCAGATTTTAAAATTTATAAAAAAGTACAAATGCTATAAAAACATAATTAAAAAATAAAAGAACATAATAAAATTTTAAATGTTACTTAATTAAAAAACATACCAGTGGTATGTTTTTTTAATTAAGTAACATTTAAAAACTATCCCAGTGGGCAAAAGACGTGTTTTAAACGACTAAAACACATTAAAACGTATTAACACGTTTAAAACACGTCTTGTGCCCAATAGGTAGGGAAATCTGGCATTGTTGTTTATTACGCGAAACTATTAGATATAATGGGATCCGCATTATTGTTATAGAATAAAATGATTCTAAGAAATTAATAAAAAAAAACATTTAGTATTTTATAAAACGATCGATAAAAATTTTCCCCTACGAGAAATGAAAGAATTAAATCATCACCACTTACATCAATCTGCATTTAAATTTTTATTTAAAGTCATTTTAAATCTTACTGCTTGAAATCCATTTTTTCAAATTGGAATTTTTTTGAGATTTCTAAATTATTTTTAAGTTTTTAACCCTCGGTCTATTTTTGATGTTTTTATAATACCATTTTAAACACTTTATGAAACTGAATTAAAATAAGTCTTGATTATGACTCAGCACAAAATATTAAGTTGATTTATAGAACGTAAAATATTAACTACTTATAAGCCAGAATTTGAAAATATTTCTTTTTTGCCACTGCACAGTAGATACCAACTAACAGCACAGTAGATAACAATTAACTCAATCGTAAATTCCAGTTTACTGCACAGTAACTACCAGTTTATTGCACGATAACAACAAGTTTATTGCACGATAACAACAAGTTTATTGCACAATAACAACAAGTTTATTGCACAATAACAACAAGTTTATTGCACAATAACAAGTTTATTGCACGATAACATCAAGTTTATTGCACAATAACAAGTTTATTGCACGATAACAACAAGTTTATTGTACGGTAATAACAAGTTGCAAGGTAACTTTTATTTAATCATGACTAAAACCAATGTAAATTTTGCTTATCCATACTTCCATTTGATTATATACTTCATAATTACTTGATTATATGTTTAAAAAAAAATCTTTTTTTTCTCTTTAAATCGCGGGGTAAAGCATAAATGGCGATATTTATCTGACAAGATAAACTATGTATTGGTGCTGAGCCTCTTCGAAACGCCAGTAATATAATTGTAAGAAGTTTATTACCACCACTACATAAACTATGATTACACAAAAACAATGTTTTTTCTTTATCTAAAACCTTCTATCATTTTAAATATTGATATATCTATGCATATGTATATTTGCTTTAAAGTAAGCTAAACTCTTGTATTTAATGACGATTTATGGTTAGTATAACATAATAAATTTCCACTCTGAGCATGTCACGTTAAGTCTTGTAATTTATATTTCTTGAGCTTGACATTGAGCGTTGGTCATGATTTTTCATTAAGAGTCTGAGTTTACCATTTCTATTACATGCGCGGTGTCTAAATCATCATTATTATTTTTTACTACACGCTTTACTCTTGTGTCTTTGTTTTGTTTTGAACATCAGCTCAATATATATTTTTAATTTTTATTTATCGTTTCTCTCTTCCTAATTTTTTACTTATTTCACTTGGGCTTGACAGCTCAGTCTAGTCCTTTGATGCATATTTTTAGATTTTTTTAAAATAATCTTATTTTTTAAATTAAGATTATTTTGTCAGGTCAGGTTATTCTGAAACTAATGACATGTAACCCAGTACAATCTGCTTCATGTCCTGCCTTGTAGGATACGCTTTTTTAGGCAAAGGCTAGGGAAGCCAACTCCTACTTAAAACACCCCCTACCTTAGGGCTCTTGGTTGAGTAAAGGCTATAGATGGTGTCTCGATAAAAATACTCATCTTGGGCAGATGTTAAATGTATCCAGCTACTGTCTTGTAGAAGTTCTCCTAAGCAAAAACTTAAAGGGTAAACATATTCTATCTGTTGATCAGCCTCGCACCCCTTCTTCATCTATTAGGCTGGCGCAGATGTACTTTTAATACATCGTTTCCAGCTTAGGATGTTGAATGTTGGATCTTCATGACTCAATGCATGGGTTTTGCTTGTGTCTCTGTTTTTATGACTAGACAACTCATTCGATTATCTCCTAATGAGAGTACAGCTCTGAAACTTTTTTTATGGTTTTGAGGCTGGCTGGTAGTGAACTCTGTGTTAGCTCTTAGAGAGGCTGATTCCATTAACAGCTGAAAAATATCAAAGTATTAACAGTGCCATGTTGAGCATGGATGGTGTCCCTGTTTGTACTTTTGGTGTGCATTGTCAAGGCCACATTTGGAACCTCTTGTTATGGCTTAGGGTTTATTAATAGTAATGAGGCAATTGCTTGGGCTATTAAACAGTTTACTGAGTACTGTCTATGTCTTGATTCAAGTTCTCAAAAAAATTTAAAAATGAATAAAGTACTGAAAACTAAAAAACACAAAAAACCATTGTCATCAACAATTTCTCTAAACCTATCATTCACTAATATTTGTGGACTTAGTAACTTTTTTTTTGTTGAGCTTTATCTCTTGCAAAGTTCACCAGACCTACTTACTCTTTGTGAGACTAATTTGAGTTCAGCTATTGCACCTTGTGATCATAATGTTGATGGTTATCTTAATTCTAGGTTTAATTGTAGCATTGTTCGCTGATGACACTACCATGACAAGAATGCCCCTTTTAAGCAATCAGAGAGTGTTGGATTCTTATTATTGTCATGATAAGAAGCCAACACTCTCTGATTGCTTGGAGGGGGCATTTAAGGTTGAAAAGGGTCTCATTTCTGCAACAGCATGGGGCTCACTGGGAGGGGGGGGGATTTTCTAATGATGCCCTTTCTCTTTTAGACAAGGTGCAAAAATGCATTGTAAACATAGTTGGACCTGCTCTTGCAGCCAACCTCCAACCATTATCACATCATCATAATGTTGCTTTTCTTTCTCTTTTCTACAAATACTATACAAATACTCAGCACTGCTCTAAAGAGCTAGCGTCTTTTGTGTTAAAAAACTTCTTAGATATCCACTGACTGCTAGCATTGAAAAGATAAACATGTATGCATGCAGTGGCGTAGGAAGGTCAAGAAAGTTGGGGGAGGCAGGGGGCTGAAATGGAAAACAAGAAATTTGAAAGAAAACAAAAATTTTCCAAAAGTGGGGAGGGGGAGGGGGATATTGCCCCCCTTGTTCCTATGCCATTTTTAGGCATTGCTCAAGACCCTTGAATTCATAATGGGTTTCTAATAATTATAATAAACAAAAGTTTGTAATAATATTATTAAGACTTATTAATAAGATTAATAGTTATATAATATTATACTTATAAGACCCAACAAAACATACTTTTAAAAAGCTTTTTTTTATATATATATATTAGGGACCCATTAAATGTTTAAGTGTCTTTAGCAACTCCTGAAAATTTTATTAAAAAAAATTTCAAATCCAGTGTTATTTTTTGAACCACCTTAATGCATATATGCTTATATATATATATATATATATATATATATATATATATATATATATATATATATATATATATATATATAACAAACTATATGATCTAAATGTAATCCACTGTTATAGGGTGGAAGCCTATACTATTAAAGAATTTAAATTGGTATATATAACTATAGAATCAGTGTATATAACAAAACAATATGGTTAACAAAATTGGTGCCAATGGTTACTCGACTGTCAAAAATGCAGCCCAGTCAATCACACACCCTGATATCTGGATAAAGAAGACCATGATCTTCAGAACAGAAAGCAACTATAAAATCAAATAAAAAAAATACCAGCTCCTTCTTAACTTCGACTCTCAATCAGTAAGTTTAAACAAACCATCCTGGAGTAGTAGTTTTATTAGAAACAAGCCAAACTCATTGCCACAAATCGATCAAGTCCTAGTCAAATTAAAGAAAGCAGTTAATGCTTACTCTAGTTTGACTATAAATTAAAACCTTCAATAAAAACACAGGCTGACTTGCTTATCAAGTTTATATACATATGCAGCTTAATAAACATGCTATATTTTTTGAGAATTCTACTGCAAATCATTTTAATGTTATAAGTATAACAATAATTAATGTTATAAGTATAACAATAATTAATTTTGTAATTTACAGTAAAGATTATAATAATAGTAATAGTCTTCGTAATCATTTTCAGTTACACTCAACCTTACTGTTACAGTACTGTTACAGTAATAACAGTACTGTTAACAGTACTCCAGATTTGTCGCTAACTGAAAGAGCTTGAATATCAACTTCATTAGTGCTATTAATCCAAAGTTTGTTATTAGTGCAATGTTTGAAATGACAAACTTTGCACTAATAATAATTAATGCACCCTTTCTCTGGGGTATCCATGTTGTATCATTTGTCAATATTCGATGTATCTTCAATCCTTGCTCTATGCCAACCAAAGAGCTCAACCGCTAACACCAATCACTTACCTACACTTTGTGCCACTTACATGGGTTCTCTCTATAACATAATTGAGATTATAAATCATTAAATTTTTTACATATACCTACATTGATATTGCCTAACTGAAATGTGGCTGATATATTTTCAGACTGAATTGTCACTGAGCCTTAATGATAAGCATGATTGACATTATCTTAACTAATCCTCTAAAATGATACAAAACCAATATCCTTCTCAACCTTGATAATTCAGATTACTTTGCTGTAGTTAATCAGCTCCCACTCTACAAAACCATTCACTAAACTCCCCAAAAAGTTTATTACCGATCAGGTAGAACAGCTGGATTAATACAATTATTGGTTGGATTAATACAATTGATTGATCTTGAAACCTTAGTTGACTCACCATATGAAATGCAAGCCGTCTTTAACAACTATTATAATTCTATTAGTTGGAAAATCAGATTTTTGGCAAGAAATCAGGTTTGCCAATAAAGTACAAATCACTTCTATTTCTACGATATTAACAATTCAATTGAACAATCAATTAAAATTTAAGCAAACTCAAGATAAAATTGACAAGACCAGATAATCTTTCCCAACTTTTACTCAAATTTGCTTGCTTAGAAATTGTCCTATAATGATAGAACAATGCATCGTTATATATTCTATTTAACTGCCTCATAGAAAACGGTTACTTCCCTTATCAATGGAAGTCAGCGAACATAATACCAAATATAAAAAACAAACTCTAGTCATTGCTGTTACATCTGCATTATGCAAAGTTTTTGAACTTGTTATTAAATTAATTTATTGCCCATCACACCAAGCACACCTGGCTCTCCAATAAACAATTCGACCTCCTCCCAGGCCACAGTAAAATGGATTATGATGGCTATTGTTCAAATAATGGAGTAAGATGGCTATTGTTCAAATTATAGAGGATCGGAGTCATGCTTAAAAAAATAATAAATTGATTTTTCCAATACTCTGTTTTTTTTAAAAAAAAAGCATTTGATTTTTTAGATCATAACAATTACTGCTAAAGTTAATGAAGATTCTTCCTAGCTAGCTCACAATCCTTCCTTGAACGTGAGCTTCCTAGCTTACATTTTGGATAGCAGCTTATCTAACTGTTGCTAAAGAATAAAAACAAGTGATCACAACACTGATTGAAAATATATGTAAATCCAAGTTCTTTCAAGTTCTCCATAAATCATACTTTACCATCGTCAATATTCAATAATCTACATTTCCAAAAAATACTGAGCTCGAAATTGTCAGCTATCAAATTGTAAAATACCTTTTATAATGTCAAATCGTAACATACCTTTATATCTTTTATATCTTGCTCAATAAGAATCTTGATTGGGAACAATAAACAAATAATAAAGAATAAAAGTTTACAACACTATAAAATCAGTTCCATTTCTACTTAAGCATGTTAAGCAAGTTGGACATTCTTAGCCCTTCTACAAGTTTACAGGTTTTATGCAATAAGTCGCATAATAAATAATGCTCCAATTCTTACTAAAAAAAAGATTCATGCTCATGCAGTCATGATATACAGAACTTATTTCATGCAGTCTTGTGGCAAAAAAAAATTTCCATAAAAATGCCACTTTAATATTTGCTTTAACATACTAGAAGAACTACTAGACAGGATCTGTATTTAAAAACTGGAAAAAAAGATTTAGTTCAGTGGTTATTGAACGGTGTCTCCTTTGAAAAATAACCATTCAATAACTAACAAATTAGCTTGCAATAATAGCAAAAATCCCAAAAGATACCATTCACTTTAAATACCATTATTAGAAATCAATATTTGAAAGTTCTGGTGCTTTCTCAATGCACAAAACTGTTCTTTCACATCTTTATTTATTATCTCAATTTGATGTAAAGATGTAAAAGAACATCTATTATTATCATAGTCTAATTTTTTTAACGCTACTCAACTTGAAATAAAGATTTACAAATTAAATTAAAAAAAAAACACATGATTTTGGAATCATATATTAAATAAGAAGTTGTCAGATTGCAAAACAATTGTATGCTATTAAATAATTTACCAGATTAAAAATTAATAACTAAAAGTGAAATATTAGACAAAAAAATATTACTGTTTTTGAGGATCCCTCTTTTATAGATTCCAGCCAATCTCGAACATCCATAAAAGAACTTTCACATGTTACATCATACATGAGTATAACGCCATCAACTTTTCGAAAGTAACTTTTTGCAATACTTCGAAACCTTTCTTGTCCAGCCGTGTCCCAGAGCTGCAGAGCTACTGTTTTTCCATTTAATTGGAGGTTTTTTATTTGAAAATCAACACCTAAATAGGAATATAAAGAGTAAATAAAATTTTTCATTTAAATTCATACCATTTTAAAATTTATAAAAACATATAATTTATTTAAAATTTACCAAGAGTTGAGTTAAGAGAAGAATAGAATTTATTCTTGCATAAACGAATAATAAAACTTGATTTTCCAACAGCTGCATTTCCAACTAAAACTAATTTATACATTCTCTCTGGAACAGTTGCATCTCCTTCCTTTGCAGATAATGATTCACCTGAAGTATCTGCACCAACCCCAAACTCACGCTTCAGGACATGATTCTTTGCAGCTTCACATGGCTCAATAATTTTTTCTTCTACAGTGATTAATTCCTCACTAGTGCTTGAAAAATCGTCATCATTTGTTTGATTAACTAAACGAGCAAGTTCTTCATCTGGCATATTATAATCATCAACATCTTCATCAAACTGGCGTTGTGAGCGTATGCTTAACTTTTAAAAAAAGAAAATTAGTTAAAAAACTGAAGATACAATAAAAAATACTTTGCCCGGTGAGAAATAAGTTAACGATTAGCTAGCTTTATAGCAATTTTTGAGCAATTATTTACTGTCACATATTTTTTATTTGGTTTTTTATGTTTTAAAAAAAACTTTAGCATCGGATCATATTTTTAGTATTGAACATATTTTTATGATAATAAACTTTTAACATTGTGATTTTATTTTGACATGGCGCTATTGATACTATGATAAATCGTTAGCTACATATCACAGCTTTGTTGCTAGCAATATTATTACAATATATCCATAGCTACAGATTGTATGTAAGTAGCTATCTACAACATAACCACAAATCTAAAGCTAGTCACTAGCTACATATTGTAACTTTATAGCTATCAACAGGGCTGTTTTAGATGAAACTCCTAAAATAATTATAAAATATACAACCAAGAAAAAAAGTATGGGTGGTATAAATAGAAATCTGGAGTTGTTGCAATAATAGCATTCATAACATAAAATTGGTTGACAACAAAGCTGAGTGCTATAGTAAATATGTAATAATAATAAAAATGGCATAAATATACATATGTAGCATAAATTTGAATAAGTAATATATTGGAAATTTTTGCTAACTGATTGCTAGCTTTTTTTGCCAGCAATTAGCTTGTAATTTAGCCATGAGGCTAAATTGTTAGCTCTTTAGATATTTAGTTCCTTGTGGCTAAATTCCTGCCTTTATCATTTTTGTTGCTAGTTGCTAGCTTATTTAGCTAGCAATCCTTGAGGTCCAATCACTTTATTTTCACAAATATTGCTAACTTGTTGCTAGCTGATTTCACACCGGGTTAGATCCTTTTTTTTTTTTTTTACCTCTTTTTTTTTTTTTTTCAATAAAAATGCAGATCCAGAGCTTACAGACCAAGAGTAGTTAGTCATGTATTCATTAGTAGTTTCGTAAGTAGCGTCCTGGGAATGTCAAAAATTTATTTCAAAGTATTTAATAAAGTTTAATTAAGATTTTAATTAATTTAAAAACTAATGTTATAATTTTTATTAAACAATTTTATTATCATAATTTATAAACCTCATTACTCTCTTCGCCAACTGGTTTGAAACGTTTTACCATGCTCATATCAATCCCTGTTTCTTGATCACTATAATTATTGCTATCATCAGAGTCTGTAAGAATTGTTGACTCAGGTACTTGATTTATCGAATGGTCATTAAATATGTCATAAAAATTATAGTCAGATATATAGTAAGGTTTTTCAGAAATTTGTTGACTAACTTCCTTACTATTGTGTTTTTCATAAATATGATCCAAGCTTATACTATCAGCTTTATCAAGACTTGATTCAACTATATCATGCACTATCTCATCTATTTCTTTAAACTGATATTCTGTTGATTGGGTTTTGTTTAGTAAATGATTATTCATTTTTGCTTCTTTTCTTTGCAATTTTGTTTTATTATGTTCAAAAGACTGATTGACATTTAGTTCATTTTTACTTGGAAGTTCACGAGGGAATTCACACTGAACTGAAACTTCATGTTTTTCAGAAATAGCACATAAACTAAGATTATTATCTACTTGAGTGCACATATCAGTTTTTGCTGGTAGGACATGTAAACTATTCAAGTCAGAACTTTCAGTGTGAATATTATCAAACAAACTCTGATCACTTGACAAAAATGTATCTGAAATTCCAGTGCCTTTTTCAGTGTCTGTAAAAGTGCAATCTTTGCACAAATTTTTGTCTTCAAAAATTATTTTACCACAACAACAGGTGTTTAAAACAGTAGATTCTCCATCATAGACAGTTGATTCTCCATCATAGACAGTTGATTCCCCATCATAAACAGTAGATTCATCATCATATGCAGTAGATTCAATGTTTGTAGCTTCATTACTTGAATCTGTTAAACTATTATTATTATTATAACTGCGATCATCAACCATTCTTCTATGATATTCTCCTTTTAAGATTGAAGATTCAGTAGCATCATCAGTGTTAAATGTAGTAGAATCCACAGAAGACTCATTAAAAGGAGTAAAACATTGAAGTTTTACTTCTTTTTTTGCAGTATCAACAAAAACTTTGTGGGATGATTCAGCAGACTTTTTCATTGTGTCAACAAAACCTTTGTGGGATGATTCTGCCGACTAAAAATGACAGTGTGTTAACACATTTAAATAATTTTTCATTTGAAATTTAAATTTTAAATATTTAATAAAAAAAATTATAAAATTTTTTTTAATTAGAATCCAAAAGTACACTGACGTGTTTGTTCACTTTAATACTTATTAAAGAATAAAAAAATTTAAAGTATATTATTTATTATAAATGTTATAATTATTTTTTCTTAATTATTTACTATAATTATGAAAAAAAAAATAATATATGTAAAAAATTCAAATGACTTAAATGGGAAACTTTGAACACTTAATGTTATAAAGAAAATTATCAACACAATGCAGACTTATGACATTAATAAAATATAGTATAAAAAAATAAGCATAAGTATAGATAACTTTAATAAATTATCATATGTTACCATTTATTAAATTTTATCATAAATTTTATTATGTTATTATCATATATTATCATGTTATCTTATATGTAATCATGTTATATACTGAACTAATTTTGTCAGGATAATTTTGGATTCTTTTCTTATATACTACAAATAATTATTTTATTTATTAGTATTTTTTTCCTAATATTTAAGATTGTTTTATCTTGTTATTAGTAATTATTTATTTTTTAATATCAAACATTACTTTTTTATAAGTAATCTTTAAATTTCTTTAAATAATCTAAGATTATTTTATACTTTTTTTTTTTTTCTAATATTTAAGAATTTATTTATTGATATTGTTAATATCTAAGATTAGCTGTTCTTAAGTAAATTAAAAAACCTATTCAAGGCCAAAATAATTGTAATTTTGTTATTTTTAAGGTCAAAGGGTAAAGTAACATTAAAGGTCAATGGGTTAAGTAACATTAAAGGTCAAGGGGTAAAAAAAAATTAAAGGCCAAGGGGTAAAGTAACATTAAAGCTTAAGGAGTAAAGTAAAATTAAAGTCCAGTAAAATTATTGCTATATACAACAAAGAAACAAATAGAGGTATTACAGCAATGAATGGATGGCAACACAGTAATGTGCAAATGTGTTAATAAATGACATCGCACTACAGAAATGAACAAGATATGCACCACAGTAAATGAATAAGATATGTCCCACAATAAATTAATGAGATATTTACCACAATAAATAAATGAGATATGCACCACGGTAATGAGATATGATCCACAGTAATGAATAAGATATGCACCACAGTAAATGAATAAGATATGTCCCACAATAAATTAATGAGATATTTACCAAAATAAATAAATGAGGTATGCACCATGGTAATGAGATATGATCCACAGTAATGAATAATACATGTACTCAAAACACATAACTAAAAAAATATTTTTACCTTTTAACATTTACATTAAACTTAAAAAATAAATAATAAATCTTTATGGGAAATAATAAAACCTTTTGAGGAGAGCTGGAGATGGGAGAGCTGTAAATTCTTCTTGAAGGAGTCACTGGAGCTGATTGACAACCAGAGGATTTTTTTATCAAATCTAGTGGTCGCAGTCGCTCTGATAAAATCTAAAATAAAAAAAAAACTAACCTTTATAATTAAACTTATCTAAATAAGAAAGACTCAAAAAAATATTCACAACAAAATAACAAAGTGACTAACTCCTAGTGCTTCTCTAAGTTCATCATTACTTTCACCTAATCTTCTATTTGTTTCGCACAAAACCTCTAGTTGACGTACAAACCGCTCTCTATCAACATGTTTTTGAGGGGTAGATGAAGCAGAGTTTTCAAGACTGAGTACTCTAACAGGTTTTTTTCCAGACATATAGCCATTATGCTAAAAATATTTAACAATAGTTTTGATAATTAAAGAAAAAAACAGCCAAGAAAAACAAAAAAAAACATGTTAACTAGTTATTATGATAAAAGAATTTTGAATGACAAAGAGCAAAATTCAAATACTGAGGATAATATATGATAAGATGAACAACTTTTAAAGAATTCAAATACTAAGGATAATATCATTTAAGAAGATGAATGACTTACAACTTGGTCATCAGCCTCCATTAATTCTGCCATGAGTGAAGATTTGTCAATGACTTCTTCATCATAAGGTATAATTGATCGTCCTGAAGCATCCTCAATATCTGTGTCATCAAAGTCATTAAGATTTAAATCTGGTCCAGGATCACTTCGGAATGAACTGTGCAAATTCGGCTGTCTATACTTAGTTAACACCAAACTTGTAGTACGTTTTACTGGAGAGCCAATAAAATAACTGTTCGAGCGCTTGACCTAAATAAATTAATTAAAAAATATAAAAAATATTAAAGTAAAATTTTGCTTTCTTGTAGGTAAAGCAAAAAAATCATATAAAATGTTACAAAAATACAAGCAAAAGCAAATAATAAAGACATGAAAAAGTATTGCAACTGTGATCTAAGCAATTAAAAACTATAGAAAGTATTTTTCCTAAAAAAATTGAGAAAGCTATTTAAAAAATATTTTTTAAATCAACCACAATTAACATACCTCCATTGCTGAACGAAGATCATCATTAGTATCGTGCAACTTTTTATTTGCCTCATGTAGCAAATGTAATTGTCGTGTTAAATTTTCTTGCTCTTGGACACAATCTAAAACAGTTACACGCTCTTTTTGAAGACGATCAGATTGTTCATCATATTCACACTTAAGTTTTGCAACTTCAGTTCTCATAAGAGCCATTTGTGTTTGAAATTCAAGCAAACGAAGATGAAGAGTTTCATTTTCCTATACACATTTTAAAAATGAAGATCTTTAAAACAAAAATAAATAATTAATTAAATGATTGATAAAATGAATTATTATTCAAAAGAAAGATTTAATATTGAATAATAAAAATTATTTAAAATATTAACCTTTTCCTTCAGCTTTATTTCTTCTAAAATTGTATTAGGAATGACAGTTTTAACTGATTTCTCCTCGACTTGTTTTTCTAGCTGAGAATTTACATTTTTTAAAAATTTAATTTTTCTATATTAAAAACTTAAATTTATATATAAAAAATTTAACTTTATATATAAAAAATTTATATTAAAAACATTTGTTCTTATACGTACAAATAATTTTTAAAATATATAAAAAAATAAACAAATATTATTAAATTTACTTAAATTTGTGATTTTAAAAAATGTAAATTATTTTTATATCTAAATAATTACATTTATTAATTATAATTATTATCTCACATTTACAAATTAGTATTAAAAAAAACCTTTAATTGTAGTACGACGTTTCTAATACTGTTTTCTACTATTGAAAACCAGGTATAAATAAAGTCTGTTTTTATATTAATATTTACATAAAATTAAATTACAATATTTATATAAAGTTAAATACATAACTTTAAATGTATACACAGCGAATAAGTAAAAGTCAGTTAATAAGTTAAAACAAGGAAAAAAGAAAGGTTTTATAGAGTATATCTTGAATACATATTTGGGACATAATTTAAGTGCTAAAATTATTTCTATAACTATTGGAAACCATTAGACATTAAATAAAAGTTTTCACATAACTCGTTTCTCAATTAAAACGCTCACTTAGGAAGGTGTTACTGCATCATTACTACTACTGTCTTGTAGAAGGCTTCCTAGAATAAGACTTTATGGGTAGGTAAAAATTTATATTGGACAACCTTACACCCTTTTATCTATTAGGAAAGCATAGCTGTAAATTGTTTTCTGCTTAAAATAATAAACACTGGAACTTCTAGAGCCTGCTCATGGGTTTTTGTTAGTTTCTTTTTAATGGCTGTACAAATCTTTCTGTTACATCTCCTAATGACGTAATAAAGTTCTCAGAGAGCTCTAGAGAAACTCAGTTGAAGTGTTCTGAAACCAGCTGGTAGGAAAGTTTCCTGAACTCTGTGACAGCTACTCTCAGAAAGGCTGATTTCATCAACAACAGTAAAATATCAAACTAATAGGTGTCATGTTGCACATGGATAGTAAACAACCGGAGTTGATATTTGGCTGGGATCGGGTTTGATAAAATATAGCCGGGGCAAGGTTTGTGACCGGAGCTGCATAAACATTTATACATCCTAAAGTACATTTTTTTTCTTCAAAATTTATGTTTGATTTTGCATATATGCATTTATAAACATCATTATGATTAACATGATCATCATAATTGTCATCATCATTACTATTATTATCACCATCATTATTATCATCAATATCATTATCATCATTATTGTCATTATCATCTGCTGGTGATGACATCCTCAGGCTTTAGCCTTCCTCTTTTATGCTGTTTCTCTAATCATGATCAATCCGTAAATGAGCTAAGATCTTTTTTACAATAAACCAAAACTAACTTTTGCTTGGCTTCTTATTCAACAAGTTGCATCCTTTTACTGCATCTGTCCCTATTTATTAAATGCTAGCATAAATATATGCCAGAATTTAATAAATAGTAAGTGTAAGTATAAAATTATAATATATAAAGACTTATAAATTTCTTTCTAGCCCTGGCTATCTAACTATCTATCTATTCTAACCCTGCTAAATCTTATAATTTTGCCATGGTTGGATTTGCAAAAAGTCTCATTTTTAGCTGGGGCCTCGGTCACTTACTACGCATGGATAATGTGCCTGTTGTGCTTTTGTTGTGCACTGTTGAGGCTACATAAGAAGCATTTGTTACAACTTTGGGTTGCTCAGTAAAACTGAGGCAAATGTATAGCTTATTGCCAGGGAATTGATTCACATCTATAGTTGAGTATTTTAATAAGCCTAAATATAGTACTTAAAAATAATTTTAAAAATATTGTCATCATTTAACTGTTCCAAACCAATTTTAAGGTCTTTAAAATAACTTTTCATAAGTTAAATTTTACCTCTTGCAAAATTCACCATTCATCCTTGACCGTTGTGAAACTAATTTAAATCTGTTTCATCTCAGTGTTGATAACTATTATCATTGGATTCTCAAATCACATGCTTGGCCTGGGCATTTACGAATAAATTAACTTTTTTGGAAAATCTTTAACAGAATCATCAACTAAGGCAAATCTAATACTTTATAACCAATTTTATTTCATAAAAAAATTAAAAAAACCTCTTATCAGTCACTAACAAAAGCGAATCTAATATTCCATCTCTTATTCATGGGCCTGATCTTATTATCTTACCCAAGACAAATATTTACAAAGAACTTTTCCACTAATTGACTAATTAATCTAATTACTAACCCATTGTTAGACATTCAAATTTCTCTTGCTTCATTTACTTAAGTTATATTGCACTTTAACTCTTTTAAGTGGACAATTGTATACAATAAAAAAAAAGTTTTTTATTGTATACAATTGTCCACTTTTACAGTCCTATCATAGTCTTCTCCAGACCTCTCTTTGTAACTCTCTTAATTTATATGTGCTGAATTTTGTTTTCCTACCTGCCTTAAAATAAGATCTGTGGTTCCATTCTTTCAAAACTCTCTGACCTTTGTAACTACTGTCTAATCAGTATTCTATCTATTATTAGAAAGGTCTTTAAATCTTTATTCAACAAACTATTTATTATTAATATAATAATATTAATATTAATAATAATGATTAATAATGATAATTAATATTATATAATATTTTGAGTTTAACAATTTACAATCAATATGGTTTTCAATCTTGTTTTACAGCTAACTTACAAGCAATATGGTTTTCAATCTCGTTTTACAGCTAACTTACAATCAATATAATTTTCAATCTCATTTTACAGTTAATTTAAAATCAATGTGGTTTTTAATCTTGTTGTACAGCTAACTTACAATCAATATGGTTTTCAATCTTGTATCACAACTAACTATACACATATATATATATATATATATATATATATATATATATATATATATATATATATATATATATATATATATATATATATGCATATTGATTTATATTGAATTAATAATTTAAATAATTATCCTAATATGGTTTGCGCTCTTAATTTTGATAATCTATAATTTAAGCTAAAAATCCATTTTAAAAGTTATAACCATCTAAATTTTTTTTATGTTTTATGTTTTATATATATATATATATATATATATATATATATATATATATATATATATATATATATATATATATATATATATATATATATATTATCAACATCAGTTGATAAATTTAAACTAGATAGCTTTCAGTCATCGTAGTTACTACAGCTCATCATTTACCATAAATGCCACACAAAAGTGGCTGGCATACGAGTTGGGTATAGATGCATATACTCAACTGATGAGTTTAACAAGGCTGCGGCTTTGTGTAACTTAATTAATTAACTATATATTTATATATATACATATATATATATATATATATATATATATATATATATATATATATATATATATATATATATATATATATATATATATATTATACTTAATTATTTAACTATATATATATATATATATATATATATATATATATATATATATATATATATATATATATATATATATATATATATATATATATATATATAAAATAATAACAATAATAATAAAAATAATAATTAGAGATTAAAGTGCCATCATTCACAACAATCACAATAGTGATGAAGTAATTCTTGAAGGCGTCTACAAAAAGTTCATATTTTTGTCTTTTTTTGAATGTTTTTAAAGTGGCTGAGTTATGTGTTTTTATAGACCATTCCATATTCGAGGTGCTTTCATGGAAAAAGACTTTGATCCTAGGGAAGTTTTTGATAGGCGACGAGTAAGTTGTTAAATTTAAATAAGATTTTGTTTGGCTTGGGTTAAGGAAAAGTCCACTTTTTAGAAACCATTTTGCGACTGCATTAGCACATTTAGTGATTTTATTAATGTTATCTTTTCCTGGGTTAATGAAAGTATATAATTGAGTGTCATCAGCATATTGATGATGATTTGTGTCATGTTTAGCTATAATATGATATACAGGTGAAACAAACATTGAAAATAAAAATGGGCCTAATACACTACCTTGTGGTACTCCTGTTGAACTAGTTGACAATTTAGATTTGTTAAGCCTATAGAAACAAAGGATTTTCCAGAGTGCAAGTATGATGTTAGCCATTTTAGTGCAGTATCTGTGATACTGCACTAAAATGTATTTTAGTGCAGTATAAAACGCTGCAGATATGTCCAGAGAGAGAAGAATGGTGCTTAAAGAATCATCAATGTTTAACAGGATGTCATTGCATATCTTTAAGAGTGCTGTTTCTGTTGAGTGATTAGACCTAAAACCAGATTGAAAAGGATTGAAGTTTACAGTTGAAGTTACATGTAGCTGAGTTAAAGCAAACTTTTCAAGAATTTTTGATATTGTATTGAGGTTTGATATGGGGCACAGATCAGTGAGTTTAAATACTGTTTGTCCTGATTTTTTGGGAATTTATGTAATTTGAGCAATCTTGAATGAGACTGGAAAAATTCCTGATTTGAATGAGAGGTTGGCAAGGTGAGTTATAATTGAACTAAATAATTTTGAACACGATTTAAAAATGTTTGTTGGAATAATATATATATATATATATATATATATATATATATATATATATATATATATATATATATATATATATATATATATATATATATATATATATACAGCTGCGAAAAATAAAATAGCACCACCACCAAAAATTGGTTGAAATTAGAATTTTTAACTATTTTTGATATTTTGAAAATCTTTTAAATACATATTTAAAAGTAAAATGGCTTTTAATTTTTATAAAAAACAAAATATTCTAGTTTTAATATATAGTATTCATTTATTAAACAAAAATTCAAAAAAAAATCAAATAAAACGCGAAAAAAATAATAGCACCACAGCATTGATGTGTACTTTAAAATAAGGAAATATTATGAGATCAATTGTTTTAAACATTTTACAATAAATATTAGTAATTTCTTAACACATTAGTATTTTGTAGCGTGACCTTTATTG